ATATATATACAAAAAAAAAAAAACCTTAATATAAGTGTCTCCTTTTCTTTGTCCCCTGCAGCAGCAGGGGTAAGAAAAGTGTCTCCTTTTTATTGTCTCCTTTATAAGGATATAATTAATAAGGAGACAATAAAAAGGAGACACTTTTCTTACCCCTGCTGTCTCCTTATTAATTCTATCCTTATAAAGGAGACAAATAAAAAGGAGACAAATAAAAAGGAGACAAAAAGGAGACAAAAAGGAGACAAATAAAAAGGAGACAAAAAGGGGATAAATAAAAAGGAGACAAAAAGGGGATAAATAAAAAGGAGACAAAAAGGGGATAAATAAAAAGGAGACAAATAAAAAGGAGACAAATAAAAAGGAGACAAAAGAAAAGGAGACAAAAGAAAAGGAGACAAAAGAAAAGGAGACAAATAAGAAGGAGAGGATAAAAAGGAGACAATAAAAAGGAGAGAATAAAAGGGAGACAAATAATAAGGAGACAAAGAAAAAGGAGAGAAATAATAAGGAGAGGAAAGATGAGGGTAAAGGGATTAATAGATGATATATACGGAGGTAATAATGTGCTGCAGTTATCTTTTGCTGCATTAAGGGACAATTGTCTCCCTTGTCTTGTCCTGCTGCTGCCTAGATGTCTAAAGGTTTATTGCTGCAATATAGAGACACTTCCGCAGCAGCAGCAGCAGCAGCAACAGCAAGAGCAGCAGCAACAGCAAGAGCAGCAGCAACAACAACAGGAGCAGCAGCAGCAGCAGCAGCTAACTTTTCTATGCGAGCTACAGCTCAACTATCCAGCTGTCTCCTTTGCTGTTATACCTGGCAGCAAGGAGCAGCAGCAGCAAACATGTGTATATGCAGGAGGGAGACACAATGATAGTAGCTGCTGCTGCTGTTGTTGTCCCTCTTCCTCTTGTTGCTGTTGTTGCTGCTGCAGAAAGGAGACACCTGATCTGCTGCTGCTGCTGCTAGGCAACTATCGTGCTGCTGTTGCTGGATACGATCCCCAACTAGGGACAGTACGATCCCTAAGCATGCATGCATTTATAGATCTATCCCTTCGTGTCCCTTTTCTTAATTCTTTTTTATATAATAATAATATATATATTAATTATTATAATAATAATAATAATAATAATTATAATTGTCTCCTTAATGCATGCACAGAGGAGACACCTGCTGCTGCTGCTGTCCCTCTTGCGCAGCAAACTCTTGCTGCAGCAAGATCTATATCTAAGATTATTGTATTCAATTTAAATCCTTTTCTCCCTTCTGCTGCTGCTGCAGCAACTGCAGCAGCAGCAGCAGCAACAGCAGCAGGAGGAGGTACATCAGCAGCTGCATCTGCAGCAGCAGCAGCAACAGCAGCAGCAGCAACAGCAGCAACAGAAGAAGAAGAAGGAAATCATTGTCTCCTCTTCTTTAGTGTTGATGTTGTTCATCTTGTGTGTCTCCATCTTGTTATCTATCCGCAGCAGCAGCAGCAGCAGCAGCAGCACTCTCCTCTTGCTGCTGCTGCTGCTAATGCTGCAGCTAATGCAGCAGCTAATGCTGCTGCTGCTGTTGCTGCTGATCAGCAGCAGCAACAGGACCTACCTCCTGATCTTGCTGCACTTGCTGCAGCTCCGTCTCCTGCTGCAGCAGCAGAGGCCCTGGTGGGTAAGGGACTGCTGGCAGCAAAAGCGGAGACACCTCTGCAGGCAGCATTTGCTGCTGCTGCTGCTGCTGCTGCAACATCAGCAACAGCAGCAAATAATAGCAGCAGAGGAACCACCAATTGTTATTCAGATATTACAGGAGTACAAAAGGGGACACCTTCTTTTGCTGCTGCTGCTGCTGCAGCAGCAGCAGGTGGAGGACAGAGCAGCAGCAGCGTTCCTCCTGTTGCATTTTTGTCTGCTGCAGTGCAGCGACAGCAGCAAGAGCAGCAGCAGCAGCAGGAGCAGCAGCAGATGGCAGCGGAGGAGTTACATGGTATAGATATATCATCATCTCCAGCTGCTGCTGCTGCTGCTGCTGCTGCTGCAGCAGCAGCAGCAGCAGCAGGAGAGGAGACAGAAGGAGACACCTTTGGTGTACATAATATAAAGTGTCCCTTTATAAAAGTTGTCTCTTGTTTTTATATGTCTCTTCTTGATGATTTGCTGCTGCCTAAGGGGGCAGCAGCAGCAGTATCTGCTGCTGCTGCTGCTGCTGCTGCTGCACCTGGTTCTGCATTATCTGCAACAGGTGTAAGTGAATCACCATTAGCATCTGTTGCTGCAGCAGCAGCAGCAGCAACAGCAGCAGGAGCAGCAGGACTTCCTTATTTATTGCTAGATATGCAGAGTGTCTCCTCCCTCCTGTCTCCTGCTGCTGCTCTCCTTGTATCCAAGGGGACAAGAGACATAGGTCTCTCCTCTATAGAGGGGACACCTGCAGCAGGAAGTGTCTCCTTGCTGCTGCTCACTATACACCCAGAAGAAAGAGATATACAACTTGTTGCCAAGGTAAATTTACAGGGTTTAGGGTTTAGGGTTTAGGGTTTTGAGGGTTTAGGGTTTTGAGGGTTTAGGGTTTATAGGGTTTAGGGTTTAGGGTTTAGGGTTTAGCACAGAATAATCTGTCAATCCTCGCCCTTTCTCATTGTCCGCCTCCTGCTGCTGCTGTGTGTGTGTGCTGTTGCTGCTGCTGCTGCTGCTGTTGCTGCTGCTGCTGCTGCTGCTGCTGCTGCAGATTCCTTATTTATTAGTAGATAGTTACCGTATATTAAGTGTCCCTTGTGTCCATCATGGTGTATTGTGTCTGTCTCCTGATTCTGTCTCCTTTTTTTCCTTTAATGGTGGCCGCTGCGGTGGAGGCAGCAGCAGCAGCAGTTGCTGCTGCAGCAGCAGCAGTACATGCAGCAACTGCAGCAGCAGCAGCAGCAGCAGCAAGACACGTATCTATGGATTTACTCATATACTTAATCCTGCAGGTTTAGTAAGAAGAGACCTGCAGCAACTTGCTGCTGCTGTCTATGACTGCAGCAGACTACGCTTGCTGCTAGATGTTGCTGCTGCTGCTGCATTCATCAGCAGCAAATGTCTCCTTGTCTCCTCTACTGATGGAAGACATGCACTAGCACATCTGGTACCCTCTCCTGCTGCTGCTGCTGCTGCTGCTGCTGCTGTTTATGATTGTGCTGTTGTTCATGGTGCTGCTGTTGTTGATATCCATGGTGTTGCTGCTGTTTTGTTGCTGCTGTTTCTTTGCTGCTGTTGCTGCTGCTGCTGTTGTTGACGTTGCTGTTGCTGTTATTAATCATGCTGCTGCTACTGCTGCTGCTGCTGCTGCTGCTGCTGCTGCTGCGCTGCAGGCTGTATCAGCAAATCAATCAGTAACAGATTTTATATGGACAGCATTAGATGTCTCTGATCCCTTGAAGGTTGCTGCTGCTGCTGCTGCTGCGCTGCTAGGTGCAGCAGCAGCAGGAGATTATAATATGCAGCTGCTGCTGCCTAAATCTGATTGTATTGCTGTATGGCCAATACTAGAAGATAAACATCAGGTAATTCTTGCTGCTGCTGCACTTGCTGCTGCTGCTGCTGCACTTGCTGCTGCACCTGCTGCTGCTGCTGCTGCTGCCGTGGTTACCCTCGAATATGTGTGTGTTGCTGTTGCATCTGCTGCTGCAGGGCGGACACACTGGGGACGGCAGCTGCGCTGACTCTGCTTCTCTAAGCAGCAGCAGCAACAGCTGCAGCTGGTGCTGCAGCAGCAGCAACAGCAGCAGCAACAGCAGCAGGAGGCCTGTGAAGTGTCTAGTTGCGTTTAGTGGTAGAGCAAGAGAGGGTACAGGTGTCTGTGTTGCTGTTGCAGTACCCTTGCTGCTGCTGCCACCAAGGAGGCCCTGGGGGGGCCCCCCAGGGGCCTCCAGGGACCTTTATTGTTTTTCTTCTTCTTCTGCTTTATTAACAACAGAGGAGACAGCAAAGGGGACAGCAACATTAGAGGTTTGCTGCAGTTTTGTCCCTGAACTGCAGCGAGGACGTGGTGGTGCTGCTGGTCAGCAGCAGCAGCAGCAGCAGCAGCAGGAGTTATATACAACAGATGGTAAACAATTAGTAGAAATATACCCTGATGGGTCCGTAGATGTTGCTGTACAGAGGGCCCCCATCCTTAGGTACGACGAGCTGCAGCAGGAGGAGGGGCCCCTCCCCGAGGCCCCCCCCTTAGGGTACCTTAGATGGCTAAAAGGGACATATAAGGCAGCAGCAGCAGCAGCAGGTGCCGCAGCAGCAGGGGCACCAGAAGCTGGAGCGGTTGCAGGGGCAGCAGCAACAGGAGGAGCAGCAACAACGCCTGCTGCTGCTGCTGCTGCTGCTGCTGCTGTTAATGGGGATGGAGATTCTGCTGCTGCAGCACCATTTGGGGGAAATGTAAGTCTTATTGGACAATCATTTGCTGCTGCTGCTGCTGCTCTTAACAGCAGCACCAGCAGCAACAGCAGCAGCACTAGCTGTGGCACCTGCAGCAGTAACGCGGACCTGGATTACCCAACAGCAGACAATTTAGGTCTAGTCAGTTCCCCTGGGGGCCCCTCTAGGGGCCCCCTTTTATTACCCACTTTTAGGTTTATGTTACTAGATAAATTAAAGGTACAGGGGCCCCCTCCCCCTCGTTGTGTCTCTTATCTACAATTACCTCCTATTGAGCCTCCCCCTCAGCAGCAGCAGGAGCAGGAGGAACAGCAGCAGCAGCAGCAGCAGCAGCTAGCCCTTGAGGCCTTCTGCTGCACCTCGGGTAATAGTCGATTTATTACTGCAGGGGGCCTCTGGCCTAATGGGGCCCTGGGGGCCGTCCAACGATCTGTACCCTGTCGGTCCCTTGCTGCTGCCTCTGTCTCTGGAGGGGAGCCGAGGATTGTGTGGCCCCTGCAGCAGCAGCAGCAGCAGCTTATGCTGCTGCAGCAGCAGCAGCAGGCGGAGATGGAGGACCCACAGCTGCTGCTGCTCAGCAGCGATCCACGTATGGGCTTAGGGGAGACACGTCTTGTGTCTCTTCGTAACGGGGCCCTAGTAGACATAACTGCAGCAGCAGCAGCAGCAGCAGCAGCAGAAGCAGAAGGCGACAGCAGCAGCGGAGACACACCAGGTGCTGCACTGTCTCTTGATAGCCCTACATTATTTGCTGCTGCTCTCCTTGATGGTTTGCTGCTGCTGCAGCTAACAGCAGAGGAGCTGCGCATCATGGGCCCCTTTTGCTGCCGTCTCCTTTGTCCCCCTATTGATATGACGGAGACACCAATGCAGCAGCAGCAGCAACAGCAACAGCAACAGCAGCTGCAGCAGCAGCAGCAGCAGGAGGACGAGCTGGATCCAGAGCTTATCAATGGTGGGGAGCGGTTCGAGGATCTAGATGAGATGCAGCAGCAGCAGCAGCAGCAGCAGCAGCATGAGAGCAGCAACAGCAGCAGCAAAAGTATGGAGACACTGATGGAGACAGAGGGTGTCTCCTCTCTCCCTATGGATATTGATGAGGAGACACAAGCCCTAAGGGAGTGTCTCTCTGCTGCAGCAGGAGGAGACACAGCAGCAGCAGGAGGAGGAGGGGAGACAGAAGGAGACATGTCCCCTTTAATGGATTCTAGCTGGGGAGCAACAACAGCAGCAGCAGGGGCAGCAGCAGGAGCAGCAGCAGAAGCAACTATTGCTGCTGCTGTTAGGGGCAGCGCAGCGGCAGATTGGATCTGTGTTGTCCTTGATGACTTCCGTCTACGTCTGTGGCGGATTGATGTTGCTGCAGCAGCAGCAGCAGCAGCAGAAGCAGCACCTGCAGGTGTTGCAGGAGTAGCAGCAGCTGCTGCTGCTGCTGCAGGTGGCTTCGACCCCCACACGGGTCTCCCGCTGCAGCAGCAACAGCAGCAGCTCCTGCAGGAAGTTCCTCTTGAATCTATGCCTTGTTGCATGCGTGGTCGCGTAAAGAGTGCTCAGCTCTACGTACACCCCAGCAGCAGCAGCAGCAGCAGCAGCGGATATGGGGGGTATGAGGTCTTATGCTGCCTTGTTGCTATAGAGGAGACAAGCAAGCAGCAGACACTGCATGTGGTGTCTCTGCAGCGCATGCAGTGTCTCTTTAGTACAATAGATCTACGTCTAGTGTCTCCTTTGCTGCGCAACTGCGGCACCTGTGCTCAGCAGCAGCTGCAGCAGCTGCTGCTACAGCAGCAACAGACAATCACCGATGGTGTGTCAACAGCAGCAAACAGCAGCAGCAGCAGCAGCAGCAGGTGGGGAGCTAGTGAGGAGACAGGGGCAGACATGCTGCAGTCTCCTTCAGAGCGTGGGGTGTCTCCTCAAGGGGAGACTACACCAACAGCAGCAAGAGCAGCAGCAAGTGCAGCAGCAACTGCAGCAGCAGCAGCAGCAGCAGAAGCACTTGCTGCAGAGGGACTAAGAGATGCAAGAAGATCTATAACTTGTGTCTCTGCTGATCCGTTGCCGCAAGCTGCTGATGGATCTGCTGCTACTGATGCAGCAACAGCAGCAGCAGCTGCAGCAGCTGCAGCTGCTGCTGCTGAGCTGCAGGAAGAAGTACTAAATGCTGAGCTGCTGCTGCTAGACCCTCATGATGACGAGGGGCCCACCCTTGCTGTTTTCTTAACAGGGAGGCCCCCTCTATTATATAGAGGGTTTGGTGCTGCTGCTGCTGCTGCTGCAGTAGATGCAGCAAAGGGTGCTGCAGCAGCAGCAGCAGCAGACGCAGCAGCTGGGTCTTCAAGCTGCCCTTCAAGCAAATGTTGCGTAGGAGGAGACACAAAGGAGACACCACTGCAGCACCGCAGCAGCAGCAGCAGCAGCAGCAGCAGCAGCAGCAGCAATGCGTCCTTCCCTGCTGCCTTTAAGCTTTTCCCCCACAGCTGCACGGAGTGTATCCCATCGTTGCATAGGTCTCCAGCAGCAGCAGCAGCAGGTGCAGCAGCAGCAACAGCAGCAGCAGAGCCTGTTGTGCAGTTTGCTGTCTCCTCTGGTTATACAACAGCAGCGCAGCAAGTGCAGCAATGGGGAGGATCAGTAGCATTAGTAGTCCCTCCCTTGCCCCTTATAGAGTCTTCCCCTCAGCAGCAGCAGCAGCAACAACAACAATTGCTGCTGCAGCAGCAGCAGCAGCCTGTCTTATGGCTATGCAGCAACCGCAACGAGCTGTACGTACACCCCAGCGAGAGAAGAGACATCCGCAGCGCAGCAGCAATTATAAATAAAAAGGAGACACTTAATTCCTTTATTATGTTGCATGCAATAGGAGACACTTTGTCTCTTGTAGATATAGCGTCTCCTTTTGATTCTTCTTGTACAACAGCAGCAACCCCACCAGCAGCAGCAGCAGGAGCAACACCAGCAGCAGCAGCAGCTGCAGCAGCAACAGCAGCAGGAAGGGGACAAAGGACCTTTGGCTGTTTTAGGTTAGATAGTCCCCTTCCTTTCTCCTCTTTTCTTCTTGGTCCCTCTATTAGTCATGTAGCTGTCTCCTCTAATAGTGATTATGTGCTTCCTCCTCATTATGCTGCTGATCCTGCTGCTGCTGCAGCAGCAGCAGCAGCAACACCAGCAGCAGCAGCAGCAGCAGCAGCAGGACGTCTTATTGCTGTATGTATACAACACCCTATAGAAGATGTTGAACAAATAAGAGAAATTCTTGCTGCTCGTAATGGACTACAAAAAGCACATTTGCTGCTGCAGCAAAAGTGTGGGGAAAATGCAGCAGCAGCAGCAGCAGCAGCAGCAGCAGGAGGTCCAACAGGAGCAGATGGTATTATATATGATGACAAGGGTCTCCTTTCTACCTCTTCCTCCTCCTCATCAGCATCAGCAGCAGCAGGAGGAGCAGGAGCAGGAGCAACAGGAGCAACAGCAGGAGCAGCAGCAGGAGCAGCAGAGGTGCCTATACACCCTAATCCTTATCTAAATAGTTGTATTGATGGACGAGTTGAGGTTGAAGGAGAAATCGGCAAACAATACGAAGTACTTCTCTATCATCAGGATAATTTACTGTCTCCTCTTGGGTAATTAACTGTCTCCTTTTTATTTTCTCCTTTTTTTTTTTATTGTCTCCTTTTTATTGTCTCCTTTTTTTTTGTCTCCTTTTTTTGTCTCCTTTTTATTTTATTTTATGTTCTCCTCTTTATTATACATGTGTCTCTATCATCAGGATAATCTACTCTCTCCTCTTGGGTAATTAACTGTCTCCTTTTATACTGTCTCCTTTTATACTGTCTCCTTTTATACTGTCTCCTTTTATTCTGTCTCCTTTTATACTGTCTCCTTTTACTGTCTCCTTTTATTGTCTCCTTTTACTGTCTCCTTTTTGTCTCCTTTTTTATTTTATTGTCTCCTTTTTTTTATTTTATTGTCTCCTTTTTTTTTATTTTATTGTCTCCTTTTTTATTTTATTGTCTCCTTTTTTATTCCTTTTTATTGTCTCCTTTTTTTTTATTTTATTGTCTCCTTTTTTATTCCTTTTTATTGGATATATATATATATATATATATATATA